AGCTAGTCAGGACTGGAATAAATTTGTGATCGCTATCGCAGTGTGCCAAACATTCCTGCTTTAAAGTGAAGCAGAGTGTTTTTTGAGATGCAAAGGTTTACGCTCTCTGATTTCGTGTAGGACGTTGAAAGCAGAATTATAAGTAGGAGAGAGGTAATAACATCACATTTTCTTCTCGTTCCGTGCAGATTAAAACATCAGCACACATAATGTCACAGAGAAGCACTTTTTTAAAATGTTTCTTATGCAACTGAGCTGACATTAAACGTGGCGTTCTAGTGTTAGAAACCCCTTTTTGCTGTTGAACTCCAGCAACACAGATTTGACTTTCAACTTCCTCCCGCCCACAGCAACTCTTCTCCTTCTCCTGCAACGCCGAACCACTTCTCTTATCTTCAGACAGCAGCAGAGACACGTCCAAAAAAAATCAATAACCAGTAATCAGCAGACTACAAAATAGCACACTCATTTCCATTTCACATCATGAACTTCTAAACATCCCAGCCTCTCAGGACACCAATTTCACCTGGAGAGGCTGCGAACATTTACTTACATTTCGTTATGTGTCACTGCAACTTCAGCCTGCAACGCCTAGTGATGCATGAGCAACAAGAACCTTGCGATTCAGTCGGCGGTTGATGGACTGTGAGACATCAGACACTCGGGCAGCACATCACGGTGAAAGTGCTTCTATTGAGCAATGATGGAGGTCATTTAAAAAGTGGACTGAGGCACAGATGCTCAGATATGATTGAATTCTCGAACGGCAGCAGCTGTTCGACAATAAACGTAATATTTTCCTGTTCATTTAGAAATCTCCCCTAGTTTGCAGTTGGGCTTTGGCCTCCCAGACATTCATATATAGAGCAAGACGATGAGTCATCGCTTTGCATAAGGCAAGGACATTTGGTGCCAGGACTAAAGAACTCTAATGAATCTTTTCTCGACTCCCCTTTTTCTTTATCTTTCTACTTCTGTTCTTCCCTTCTGCTGGGCTCAGCTTAAACCCTGTCCCTGCGTCCTTACAAAGTCACTCAACTGGATAAAGTCATTTACCTGGATGAAGAGGAGCAAGAGTGGGGGGGATGGAGGAGGAACAGACGGATAGAGGGAGGGTGGGAGTTGAGGGGCCAGAGAGGAAGTCTTTGACAAATACTGTATTTGTAAGGAGAATGTAGAAAAATGAAAGAACAAAGAAATGGAGCAATGACAAGTAAAGAACACCGAGGGCACAGAACTGAAGTGGAGAATACTTTGAAAAGACAAAGAAAGTCTTTTTGACCAACAACTGAACATTGTGTTGTTTCTACAACACCACAGAGAGCACGGGGAGACAAGAAGATAAAGGAGATGCGGTGAAAGTCAGGCTAAAGCAGATTAGTTAAATAACAAAATAAAGATCAGTAGAAATCAGTGAGCTGTGAACAATAGTGAACAGCTCATTGTGCAAATTACTCAGGAGATGGGGTATTCATTGAATGAAAGGCTGATAATGAAGGAGATATGCACTCCGTTGACGGGTTTTTGTGCTTGATGTGTGTTTTTTTGTGTAGATTCTTCAAAGATTTATATTTCGAGAGGTACTCAACAGAAGCATGAAGCCCAGCACTTGAGCTGAAACCAGTCATTAAAAGAAGTACATACAGTAAGTTAAGATCCTCGCTTTTGTCTCTCTTTCTTTCTCTACAACTTCAGAATTATCATCACCATGTCTTGGGGTTTCTTTCTTCATTATTATCCAAAGTTATTCAATCTCTTTCAATTATTTATCAAACGTTATGTGTTTCGCTTCAGTATTTGGTGCATATATGATCGTGACCCATTTCTCTGATTAACACAGAACTCTGAAATGCTTTTTGACACATGATACATGTTTTATACACTCTTGATCCTAATTTGTACATTTCTTGAATTTATTTAAATTTGTAGAGCACACAAAGGGGGCTGGAGCACATTGTTCAATTCACAGCCTTTTATTGTGAAAACGTTTCAACACCGCTGTGCCTTCTTCAGAGTCAAAGTGGGCCAAGACATGAAACAGACAGATATAGTCGACCTAAACCAGGTGTACGGTTGTCATTGGATCACAGGTTGAATGGGGATTTCAAATATATTGGATGATAAAAGAGAGGAAAAAAAAAAAAGTGTGATAAAAGTCTATTAATGAAGCAGTATGTTCCAGCCCTCTTTGTGTTTTGCTCTCTTGAAATTTGATGGTGACTTTCTACTTGTATTGGCAATCCTTTGTCTCAAAATGAAAAGCAATTCTGATCAATTTTTGTTGTTCAAACATGCTGAATCAATGCAGGTGACTTGACATGACAGTGACATTACAGCATGTGTCACGTTATACACTTTTATAGATCGTTACACATCCACACTGGCCTCTTGAACTTAAGCCAGTATCTTCATTTGCAGGTAATGATGTGGCTCTTGGGATGTTATGTTGGTCCACCATTTTACTCCAGACTGAAATATTGGACAGATATTTGATAATAAACTGCCATCAAACATTCATCTTTCTATGACTTGAACATCATGAAATAACAACTGTTCGATGGCTCAGTTGTGATAACTTTGGTGATCTTTCAACTTTTTTCTCTACCACAATCATCACGTCAGACACCTGAATTTGTCCAATACTCGCTTTTATAGTCGACTTTTCCATCAGCATCAGCTTCATTGTGCATTCAGGCAAATCATCATGCTAACACACAAAACTAAGATGGTTGATAAGATAAACATTATACCTGCTCAACACCCGCATGTTGCTGCATTAAAGCTGTGTTTAGTTCCGCCTTGCAGAGCTGCTGGCATGACTGTAGACTCTGGTTACCTGACACATGCATATACAGCACACAAATGCTTTTATCCTTGGACACTGCTGTCCTTGTGATTAGGTTAATCTCCTCAGCCTTCATATACAGCATGACAGTGGATGGTACGCTGGCATGTCAACAAGTAGCAGTTGGTCACATTTGATGTCTGTTGTTATGTAAAGATGCCTCCTCCACTGCTGACATAATGAAATATCTATCTATCTATCTATCTATCTGTCTATCTGTCTATCTATCTATCTATCTATCTATCTATCTGTCTATCTGTCTATCTGTCTATCTATCTATCTATCTATCTATCTGTCTATCTGTCTATCTGTCTATCTATCTATCTATCTATCTATCTATCTATCTATCTATCTATCTATCTATCTATCTATCATACTCAAATCTCTCACATGCTAATTTGTGGATAAAAACAGACATTGCTTTTTATAGCTCGTCTAGTGGGGGCCTTCTGTTTCAAAATGATCTTTTCATTTATTTGATCTGTTTCCATGACTGAAAGTTCCTGCTGCTAATCATTTCCCACTTTATATGTCACAGCTAAAAATCAAGCCTGCAGATGATTGATTTCCCTCCTCGCTGTCTCAAGTCTTGTATATAAATCATGTTTATTCTGATTTATAGGAGAGGGAAAGCAGGTCTATTCACATTAATTTGCTGCTTGTTCCTATATGCGATGCATCCATTTGCTCAAGTGTTCACTCTCCTGCCCTCCACCACTGATGTGAACTTGGATCAAAAGGCACTTCCTTATGAAGCAAGAATTGCAGAAATTGGTTCAACTCTGCTCCTTTAACTTTAACCTAAAACAGCACCATCTGTTGTACACATACATCTGCACTCCTGCTCATTGGTTCCTCAGCTTTTCATGTTTGACCTTGGCTCCAAAATCCCCGTGATCATAATGTAGACGTTTTCGTTAAGAGGGTTGATGATAGCCATAGAGAGATACCAAACTCCACAGGTCGATCCTCATTCTCCGTGGTTTATTAGTCACAGCGCTGATGAGATTAACGCTGCAGCGTCTTTCTGTCATATCTCTCCACGCAGACCTCTGACAACCTTTCGCTCTTTGGTGCTTTAAAAAGAAGCAGATGAAATAGTCTAGACCTTTTTCTGGTGAACCCAGAGGATGATGTTAAAATGTTACCGGAGTTCACAGAACCAGTGACATTTTCTCCAAAAAATTTCACAAGAACCGGCCGCACTCGGTCACACCTGCTTCTAGCAAATTTACGAGCACAACAAGGGGGAAGGTTTCCTCTTATTTCATGGCCGGCACAGGGCTGAAGTCAACATTCCCTGACAGTGACGATAAAATGCGCCGACATAAAGAACACTGCTAACTCCACATTTTTATTTGACCTTTTATTAATGTTTTGGTTGGTTTTCTATGCCTACTACAATCACATGCATGGTTAGAATCTGTCTCTTCCTCTTCCATCGCTTTACTGATGAACTGACCTGGTGTCACATGATACATGGTATTTTCAAATATCAAAGGCTTTTCTGAAAGACAAGATTGGTAACTCATCCCGTGTGGTTTGCGTTGAAATACAACAGTCGACTTCAGCACCGCCTGCTTGCACAAACATGGCACTCTGACAAACATACCAGCTTTCCTTGCCTCATTCTGCTCCGTCTCCTCCTCTGCCACTTTTTGCTCTCATTATTTGCAATATGCACTCCCTCTGCAGATTAAAACCAGAGCTATCTTGTTCTGTTTGCAGTTTTTTTTTTCCTCCTGCAGCTCTCATTTCAGCTTTTTAAATCAGAAATTCTATATACCTTGACTGTATAATTGTCACTTGGTTAATAAGGTAAATAAGACTAAGTGAGTCTGACAAGCTGCTGTAAGTTAACATGATGCACTGAAAGCATTCCTGTCCCGACGTATATACAATATGTACAATACTGCTTAGAAGTTGTGCAAGATGAACACTTGATATTGTCTTGTAGTCATTTAGCTGTGCTGGGGTCTGTGCAGATCTCACAGTGAGACTTGCAATTCATAGGCCAGTTACTGAAAAAAGATTAAACTGGTCTTAAAAGCCATCGGTTTTGATTGTGGCAGTGCAATGCCACTGCCAGTCGTTTTGACAAAGTAGTTCTCCATCCTCCCTGTAGTGTCCTCTCAGTGCAGCCTACAGATGAAGTTTAAACAGCCACGTTGGCCAGCCTCGGGTCTGAGTCCTGCTCGTAGCGGTAGTGGTACACCTCCATCTGGTCTCTGCACGCCTCTCTGATGTTGTTGAGCCACCGTTTGATGCCTCCCCGGTTGAGGTAGAGCACCATGAGGAACACCACCCCGATCAGAGCCAGCACGATACCCAGGAACACGTAGGAAACCGCCTCCAGGTTCTCGTTCATACAATCCACGTCCTCTCCCCGGAGCTTTTCCACTGGGATCCCCCTCTTGGCCTCCGGCTCACTACACTGCAGACGCCCTCCATCCGGGCACTGGGACGAGTTCTTGAGCCAGTAGTAAAACGCCTCCAGTTCACAGCTGCACCGAAACGGGTTTAAAGACAAGTAGACGCGTATGTGCCTTTGCTGGTACAAACTGCTCACGTTTTCCCTCCCGATGCTCTCTATTGAGTTATTTATCAGAACTAACACGTGGAGGTTATACATGTCTAATCTCACCAAGGGGATAGACTTCAGCTGGTTTCCCGCCAACTCGAGTCTATGGAGATTGCGCAAACTTTGTGCGTTGAGCGCGCTGGAGAGCTGCGCCGTGGCCACGGGCAGAACGGAGGAGTTCAGGAAAAGAGATCGCAGCTCCGGTAATCCGTGGAAAGCCCTGGCTGAGATAGACTCCAACTGGTTGTGGCTCAGGTCCAGCAAGTGCAACCGGGGAAGTCCCACGAAGGCGTAAGGCTCAATAACCTGTATCCCGTTGTAGGACAGCGACAGTTTCGTCATTTCCAACTCCGAGCTGTTGGTCATGAACGCACCGCGCTGTAAAGTTGAGATGTTTCTCCCCTGAAGTATCAAGGTGGACGTCCACTCCGGGATGTCGCTCGGCACCTCGGTGTCTTCCCCGTCTCGGCAGGTCACCGTCCCCGAGTCTCTGGCACAGACGCAGGACGACGGACAGGCATCGTCCGTCCTGACGGGTGAACACAACAAACACACCACCGCTGCGTAACACAAGCACCACTGATTCCAAAGAGAAAAGACACACTTTGAATCGTCGGCACCGTAAAATATCCACATCTTCTCCCTCATTTTATTCTCTCTCAAAGCGGGAATGTGCTGGATTGTTGAAGGTGATCGATTTCAATCCTCTCACATACATTTAAAGTCGAATCAGTCCGGCATCGCTCACTTTGAACAATCAGAATTAAACGCTCTGTCCATCGTCACCTCAGTCTCGGTGGCTCTGAATCGAGAAAAGTAGAGTTTTCTTTGGGATATTTACGCATCGGAGCGGTGGACAACAGCCGAGTGTGGGCTGCGTGGAAAGCTGCTGATCCGCGCTCCCTTGGTGGTATTTTTGACGCCTGTCACAGAGAGAGAGAGAGAGAGAGAGAGAGAGAGGGAGGGAGAGGGGGAGAGAGAGGGAGGCAAAGAGAGAGGGAGAGAGAGAGAGAGAGAGAGAGCTGCATGGGGCACTACAAGTACCTCAAAGTCACCCTAATTCATATTTCATTGTTTACTATGCAAAAATTGGCAAGCAGAAGATTGTAATGTGGAGCTGTGAAAGTTATGAGTGAATGATTTCAATCTCACTTGATCTTGAACATCTGCCACTGGAAGAAGCTCAGCACCATAAACTAAATAGCAGTGCCATTTTCAATACTAAAAAGTGTTCACTGTGGCGTTAATTGTAAATGTTAATTCTCCCAGTTTGAACAACAAATGTGCATTTTTTTTTAATCCTCACTGAGTTGTCATATGATCATTTAACCCCATGTTTTCATTACTGCTGCCTTAATTCATGTCCTCCAATGCTGATTGCAAATTAGTCACTGTAATTATGTGCAGGCAGTGGAGCCTGTTTAATGGGGCCTTGGTCAGTTCTTTCCGACTGATCAATTTTCCAAAGAAAGAAAACTCACTTTTGGAGCGCTGGTCACGCTCCCCACGTCTACAGTATGGAGCTGGCAAACAAATCAATAAGCTTGAATAAATAAACTGCTCCCAAATCAGATTTTGCATCGGTGCTGGACTGATATGTGGAACTGATCTGTCATTTTGTCTCATTACTTGCTCTGAAACAAGGAGATGAAACTACTGAGTTTTACATTTAGGCCTGGAGCTAATGAGGGAGAAGTGAATTATACTCTAATTAGGCAATAAGGTGGCTGGAAGCTTCGCTATGAGGGCGCCATGGCACAGTACTTTACTGAAGTTCAATGCATCTTCTATCTTAAGTGGAGATGGTGACAGTGTAATTCTGTGCTGGACAAACTGGTTCATGATGGATTTATTAATAAACCAGAAGCACCGAGTACATATCGGTTTCGGGTGTGTTCATGGTCAGCTGAAAAGAAAGCGAGACAGAAAGGAAGAAAGTGTGCTCACTGTAAGACAGAGAGGTTAAGCACCATGGACAGCTCCACAGAGAAACACTTCACTGTTAAGAAACTGGTATTGTTCTGTGGAATGAAAACATGAAAGGATCAAAAGGGGGGAAAAAAAGAAGTTTTAGGTTATTTTGTCAGACAAGAAATACAGCATGAGCTGTGAAAGGAAAAAGATACAGATGAGGACAGAGGGAGCCCAAGGGTCCGACCCATGGACAGCTTCAGAGGGAGGCGCATTGCAGTTAGTTCTCAGGGCAGCAAGACAGAAGAGACCAATCTCAAACTCCACACTCACAGGCTTTGAGGCACATTTGTGACAAGTGCATGGGGGCTTTGGACTGTCCCACTGTCAAATCATCAAGTGCATTAGGTCTTTGATGTCAGCTTCTCAGTACTATCATGGGTCCTGTCTGTGAGTCTGAATATCTGGAGACTTTTCTGAATGACTTACCCATAGTTCATAGCAAAACCAATGATAAACGTGGTTGCCCTGCCCAAAAAAAGCTTGAATGGTGCAAGGAAAGAATCTGCTAGGAAGTTTATGTCTAACCACGATAAAGAGCACCTCACTGCTCTTTATTGTGGTTATTTATTGCACCTTTGCAGAGTTGTTTCTATTTTCAGTCAAACATCTGCATAGAATTTACAGTTGTTTGTGGGTTTCCAGACTTTTGCTAGTTTGCTGAGCAAGGTGAGCAGTTAATCAAACTGATAATGAAACACAAGCCCATCTTCACTGCTTTTTTGTTTTTTTTCGGCGACGTGTTGTTTCCAAGCAACGCGTGCTGTCACAGTACTGTGTCCCACTCCTCCTTTTTATGCCTCAAAAACTCTCACACTGAAGCACCACAGCTGTGATGTCAGTTAAGTCTGTGAGGATTTAGTGATTAGGCCTTCAGGGTAGAGATTGGGATTGAGCCAAGGAAGGTGTAGACAGGAAAAGAATAAAGAAGTAGAAAGTAAAGGAGTGCTTTTGAGACAAAAACTGAGAGGTTCAGGGCTGGAGGTACTGCAAAAGAGTGAAGCAAGAAAGAAAGAGGGACTACTAAACAGAGTCCAAACTGTCATGTGAGGACATGTTTTTTAATGGACATTGGATACACAAATAGCCTTCAGGATGACCTCACTCAACTCCACTCAAGTTAAAATCAGCCCATTTGACTGCTCTTCTTTTTCCTGCTTTCTCTCAATATATGTGTTTTCTGAGACAGTGATAGCCCACATCCAGACAGTTCTATCCTCTTAAAGCAATGAGTGTATCTGCAATCTGAGTTACATATAAGTCTTATTTTTGCTTTGTAGGCAAAATTTTCATTTGGCTGCAGGTATTTGTTTCCATTAAGCAGCAGCAGCAGTGGTGAGGCTGGGAGCTGACGTTAGCCAGTAAACTGTCACTTCATCCTGAGCTGTTGGATTTGAGGATTCTGTGCATCTGGCAAAAAATATATCTTTATGAGGGTTTGTGCATTTTCCCCAAACTGTCACAAAGTTGGAAGTACATTGTTGTCTAAAATAACAACGTATGCTGCAACATGGAGAGTTATCTTAACTGGATCTTGGAAACCAAGAAAAACATCCTCTGTCGGAAAGTATGTACAATGATGTGGCAGGAATATAACTACACTTCTGGTGTGAGTGCATTAGCATGACTTAATTCTTGTTTCAAACAAAGAATAGGAAGAAATGTGTAATAGCTGTTGATCTTTTCATCTCACTTTCAGCAAGCAACTAAGGATATTTTTCAGAATCGCAAACTGTTCATTCAAAGGACAGTAGGAACCATAAAAACACATTCAGGGCTGGTGTTTGTATTTATCACAGGGGCCATGGCACTGGGGAGTCTGGAGCTGATTGCAGTTTGCTGTCATGCTCAAGAGCACTCCATCAGGAACGAATGGACATAAATGGTTATAGCGGGGATGTAAATATAGACGCTGGTAGAATAGGAACTGAGACAGAGAGACAACAAGAGAGAAAGAGATAGGAAATGATGGAAAATGGTCTTACTGCTGGCGCTCCTGATAAGCACAAAGGGCCATATTACTGTCAGGTTGTTTTGCCTATTAAGGCATACAGGATAATAGTTCTTCCACCAAACAAACAAGGACATCTGCTCGATCCTCGTGTTCTTCTCTCAGGACCCCTTTTGCCTGCTCCACGGGTATCCGCTCTATCAGCCAGTGCAGAGAGCTGATTTAGTGGTGGCTGCTATTCACAGGCTGCTGCCGGGATATTGTTATGGTGCCCTCCTCATGGCCTTCAATTTGACACTGAACCTCGTAATTGATTTACTCAAGGCTGCCCATCCCTATCTCCCGACTACAGTGAGAGTGTGTTTGGGTGCGTAAACTGGAGGGTGAGTGACCAGTTACCAGTGACCTTGGCGGTTGAGTTTTCCTCCTGTCCTCAGGTGTGTCATTATTTCTGTCAGGTCTGGTGCACTTGCTCGTTTAGCAGCAAACATAGTGTTTTGTTGTGCATGTATTGTGCAATACTGCATTTATGCTTTGATTAGATTCGATTGTATGCAAGCAATTATTGCATATTGCGTGTGACTGTGAATTATACATCCACTGCAAACTGTTCCTGCATTTCACTCTCACATTTTGGTTTTCTCCTTTATCCCTTCCGCGTCATTCGTCATTCATTAACCTTGTTTTAACGGCCAACACGATCTTTCCTTCATCCTCCCTCCAGCTGGCACATGACTGACACATGCTGGACTTACTCATAATTACAGAGAATCCAATATAACCCAGGTAAAGGACACGAGGAAAGACTGTGGAAACAGTCGTGCAGGCACAAGGGTATCAGTGGGTGTTGGTTGCTTAGATTTCGCACCATGACTCAATATAGTGTCTCAGTACATTACAGACACTTCATCATATCTTTAGCAACTATATCCCACAGAGAGAATACTGTTTGGAGATGCACCATTAGCACTGTTGTCTTAATACAGGACTAATGCAATGCATTGTACTGCATTATGCACTGTAATTTAAAACTTTGTCAAAATTTGATGTAAAATGATCAGTCAGCTTGGGTACATGTGCACATTTTATGCTGTGACGTTGCCAGACATGTTTAGATTACTCACATAATGTTTCAGGTTATAGTTTGAGGCTTTATTTTGCACATTGTCTGCATCTAAAAGATGAATGTAGGACAGTGAGGTCACCTAGTTGGCTTGTGAACTACTGTTTTGGAGTAGAGGATCCGACTGAGAACTCGTGGCCATTATGCACACTGATCAATCACAAAGTAGGCCCACCCAAAAACATACCCTGCTTCATCTTTTGTTTTATTCTAAATTGGATCATAATTTGTGAATATCGTGCTGTGTTGAAGGATATGTGAAACTAGTGACTGGGACCATAAACCTATTAGTGAAATTGTTATTGAGGTAACAAATCAAAGGAGAAGTAGGGTTATTATCTCATTAACGTCCATGCAGTCGAACTTCCTTTTGCGGCCAATGGTGTCACCCCCTGCTGGCTGTTTAAGGTTTAAGACACTTGGCTTCACTTTTCAGACCCTGAGGCTGTCTTTTCTATACACGCTGGGATTTTGATAGATTGTTTAATATAGTACGACATACCAATTTACCCCTTTCGTATTCCAACTCCCATTTTCATGATGCATTCAGAGAAACATTTTTGGAAATTAGACTCTTCAATATAACAGACTGCTCTCTATAGCCACTATCTTAAATTGCTCTCTCCTTCCCACAGTTTGCAGTTTTGCATCTTTAATAGATTTTGACCTCATTGTTACCTTCTAACAATTTTCATTTAAGTTTGGTATGAAAAGGACTTAAAGCTGAGGACTAATTTTAATACATTTCTTTCATTCTCTATGGAGACTCATAGGCATAATTCTGTTAGCTATTAAAGTGACTCAAGGAGCTTTGTACACTGGCGTACAGAATCATTACTGGCTAGAGGCGCGCACACACACACACACACACGCACGCTCTTACACACTGCTGCTGATGGGTTGCCAGGGGGAATGGGTGCGTTGTGCTACAGCAGGGCGCTCATGAGTAACAGTAGTTTCATCTAAAATCTCCCTTAATCTTTCCTTCTTGTTGCACTGCACTCTGGAGGTTTGATAGTGTGCATCGCTTAAAAAAAAAGCAGCCGGGGTTAGTAAGTTAAAGGACTCTGGAGCTGCTGTGAATAATGTGGTTTGCGCGCACGCACACACACACACACACCTACACACACACACACACACACGCAGGG